CCTTCACACTTCAGTGACACCCCCCTCCCCTATCATATACTTTCCAGTCACAGGCTCCTTAGTCCTGTTTGGAAAATTCATCTTTAAGGGAGATTTCTCTCCCCATCAATATTGATTTATCCTGCCGCGGTTGTGAGTCACCGAAGTCAGCTTGAGGTTAGAGGAGGCCTTGGGGAGGGCTGTGGGGGAGATGCTGGGGGTAGGGGGATGTGGCCTGTGTCACCGCTCAGCTCTTCAGCCTGGGGAGTATTTGCCTGCCCTTTGATCAGCCCCTTCATTCCCTGAGGGAGACAGCCGTTAACCAGCTGCCTCAGAAGCCCCTTCCATTTCATCTGAGCCTCGTGGGACCAGAGATAGTGATCAATTGGGATGCAGTCCATGAATTGGCTTCTCTCCTTCCCAGCTGGGCCTCGGAGCTCTTAGCCTGGAGAAGGCGGGGTGTCTGCCGGGTAGGAGTGAGGGAAGCACACTACAGAGAACAGCTATATTCCCATTTCTCTTGCCCTGAAGGGGACCCGCCTGTGCTTGTGGGGCTTCTTTCCTTTCTCTGACCTTGGTATCTCCCCATACCTGGGGCAAAGAAAGAAGAGTAAGGGAATAGAGGAAAAGAGATCACACCTTGTGTCTGAGTACAACTTTAACCCGAGAGTTGCCAGAGGGATGACAGCAGGCGTACACAGGCTCCTCCCCCATGTCCTGCAGCTACTGTGTGTACGTCCTTGGGCAAGGTCCATTTTGGTGAGAAGCCTCCGGGTAGAGGATCCAGGAGCTGGAAGGCCCAGACCCAGAACCTGCTTTGCCACCAGCTGACTGAGTGCCCTTCTTCCTTGTTCTGAACATCTGTCTCCTTCTCCGTAAGATGAGGGAACCAGACTGCTGGGGCTCTGAAGACCCCTTCTACCCCTGAAACTCTCTGTTCTAAGTCCCTCCCAGCTCTGCCATTTTATCCTCCAAGGGCCCTTCTGGCTCTGACACTCTAAGTTTCCCTGGCTAGGACATAATGGAGACCTCAGTATTAAACAAACCCACGTTTTCCGTGGAGTTTATTCCCTTCAGAGAGGGTGAACAAAATCCCGCTGGCATTTACCAGTGAATGCCCCTCTGCTGGGAAGGAATGCCTGTTCCTTTCTCCAAGGACATGCCTAGGCCTGATAGCTTGAGATTTAGAGCAGTTTCTCGTTCTTGAGACAGAGAACAACCAAGGCCTCATTAATCTTCCCCCCTCAACCAAAGCGTGCAACAATGCATTATGGGTAATGGCCTTTCCCCTTCCTTGCCCGCCACCTCCACTCCTGGCCCACGCTCTCAGTTAACTCCCCCACCTTCTTGCCACAAACACGCACTCAGGGGACAGCGATGGGAGGAGCAAGGAGAGGCCTCATGAGGCCCCATGGGAGAGGTTTCTGGGGCTTGGAAGCTGCCTTCCAGAAACTCCTGCTTTGTTCTGCATCCCTATAATGGGTTGCCATGGCAACTATGAGCTGCCAGCCAGTGCGGCAGCAGCTGGGCAGAGCATGGCAGCGGGCTGGGGCACCGAGGAAGGCTCGCTGATACTTAACAGGCCAGTCCCATCTCTCAGCCTCCCAGACCAGGACCATCTTCCTCCTTGGGGTGGCCCATTTCTCCTAACCATTGCCTCTCAGTCCCAGGTAGGCAGGGCCACAGCCCCGTGAGGGTCGCCTTCCAGTCTGTTGATATTGGATCAGGCTTGTGTCCGTGTCTCAGAGCTCAGGCTTATATTCATATCTGAAGGCCTAGATTTTGGAAATCAAGCCTCTGGGAAAGCTTTTCCTGGAAATCAAACGAGTTAATTTGTTAAGTGCTGAATGAAGTGCTTGGCATGTAGTAAGTGCTTAATAAATGCTCTCCCCCTGCCCCAAAATAAAAATGGAGCTGACAGGAGGCAACAGGAAGGCTGAGCTGGGGCCAATGTATTCTAGTTGCTTTTTTTTTTTCCTGTTGCTTCCCTTTAACTAAATTTTTTTATTTAAAAAAAATTATTTTCTTTCCTTCCCACTTCCCTCCCCAATCCCTACCTTGAAACAAAAAGAAACAAACCCTTGGAACAGCAAGCCTAGTGAAGCACAACAAATTTCCACGTTGGCCATGTCTAAAAAATGTGTATCTCTTTC